GTTACAAGTAAGCCACCATGCTCAGCCATACTTAAGTTTATTTAATGAGTAATGCAATTAAGAAATAAACAGTATCTCTTCAGAAAAGGAAATACATTCTGGTCTAAAACAATTATTCAAAGAAGGAATTAGAACATTGTTCCTCACTATTAACAAGTGTTCCTATTCCTTTGGAGACCATGTTTCATGTCATTCCACAATATTTTCTTCCCTCTTGGTTATCTACTATCACTTTATACTCCCCCAACCCCAACTCCTACCATTTTAAGAAAAAAAAAAGTCAGAATCCTTTTACACACTCTTATCTACCATTTCTCTATTAGGAATGAGATTCATTTTGTTTTCTTTACCATCTGATTGGTGGGCTGCTCTTTGTTACTGAAGGCTACTAAACAGTATGAATGCTTCTGATCTCTCTTCTGGTACAGAAACACTCCCATTCCAAATTAGCAAGTACCAGATACATGAATCCAGTAGCATATTTGACTATTTCCAAATTAGTGTTATCAGAATTCTTAAAGAACAAATGGATTGGTATTACATTTATTATCAAGTAGAGAACATATATACCTCTACTACCAGTCCTATATAAAACGATTTCTCATAAAGGTGACTTAGTTCAAGGGTGATCTCATACCCTCCCTTCTCCTACAGGAAATTTTTTTAAAAAGTGTTACTAAAATAGTGACTTGGAATCTGTATTATCCACGCACAGACAAGTCCTTATGATTTCTAAAAAATTAACCAATGTTTGGCCTATATGATTTAGTTCACAAAATTTTAAACATGTGTCACTGTAAAGATAAAAGACCACACTCCTGCTGATATATAGCTCAGTTGAGGGAAAATAATAAGCCTTTTTGGGAAATTTATAACCTTCTTTATTTAAAGTCATGATTATGAATAAAGTATATTTCAATAATCAGTGTGGCACCCCTGATCAATGCACCAATATCAGTTTTTATACTAAACAACATTATCGCATATATTTTATATTTTTATTACTAACTCCTCAGTAAGAATACACTTTCCAAGATGTAGATGGGCATAAGATGGTATCTAATATATGATTTACACATCAACTGTAAAGCTAAAAGAACAAAATTATACCCACAATTCAATAGATAAATGTAAGCTCCCAAGAAATAGAGATTCAAGTAAGAGGCTTCCATTTTTAAATACTTAAATGCAGTGAGACTTTGTACCTATAGGTTTTACAGCAAAAATGGACAGCTCTGCCTCCTGGTACACATTTACTTAGTCTTCTCACTTAAAACTTCAAGAAAAAAAAAAGAGTAGAACTTCGTTTAAAGTATATTCAAATGTACAAACAAAATTTGTATTTATAGTACATTCCAGGACACACCACTTAACACCCACACTTTATAATGCTTTATCAGTAGTCATTAGCAAACTACACAAATAAAGCCATTAACAAGATATAGAGATGTTTGCCACCACAGAATACTTAAAATCAGGTTTTTTACAGTCTTTCAGCAGCAGATGATAGTTCACAACTGTAGCCATTCATAAGAGTTCCTGGAATGCAGCCTGCAGAGTTCACATTGGTCAGCTATCTATGGAAAGCGATCTGCACTGTGTTCCTTTCCCAAAAGGGCCAGTAATATTTTACACTTCATCTCATTTACAGAAAAGGAGTTTGTTAAGTGTGTAGGTAGTTTAAACAAATTTTGTAACATTCACTGTAAAAGTGTCTAGACTTTTTTTGGTCTTTTCTGTTTGTTTCTTTTTTTGGGTTGGAGTCTCCACTCTGGTGCCCAGGCTGGAGTGTTGTGGCACAATCACAGCTCACCAAGCTTTGACCTCCTGGGCTCAGGCAATTCTTCTGCCTCAGCCTTCCAAGTAACTGGGACTACAGGTGTGTGCCACAATGCCCAGCTAATCTGTCTTACTTTTTGTATGGAGGAAGCCTTACTATGTTGCCCAGGTTGGTATCGAACTCCTGGGCTCAAGCAATCCTCCTGCCTCAGCCTCCCAAAGTGCTGGGATTACAGGCTTGGGCCATAGCGCTTGACAGCTATGCATTTTTAAATGAACTCCATTTTTAACCATCATTACATCCAGTTTACACAAAACCAACTTGAAGAGACTCAACAACTGACCATAAGCCTTCTAATGAGAATAACTAGAAAGATATATAAACTTTATATTAATAGCACAAGATCAATAGGCAATGCTAATTGAGAAGTTTTTGCATATACAACCATCAGCCTTTTAAAAGTTTGGTATTAAGATGTATTAATATTAGACCTGGTTCTTTAATATAAATTATCTCAAAACCGAGCCTATACAGGGCCTTGTACTAGGCAATGGAACAAAAGTCACAAGGTAAGAGTTTCAATGCATTAATCTAAACCACCTTAATCTTTGTTATTCTCCCATCTTCCTTCCCTTTCTCAAAGAAATGACTGTGTTTACTCACTTTTTTTAAAAAAAGCAAACATCTTATTTACAAATATTTCCTTAGGATCTGAAATGTGTCAACCTATTCACAAAGTTTAAGTCATAATTACTAAAAACGTCTCACTTTAAATAGTTTTGTTTCACATTTGAATGACTGCACATCAAACTGTATGCAGATCTGAATTTAAGAAGGCAAGCCCAATCACCATATTAAAATTAAAATTCTTAGTACTGTTTCCTCAGAAGATCACTCATCACAGTAATTTGAACGTGTGCCTGAAAAACTGTGTTATTTAATTTCAAACAAAAAATTTTAAAATGCCCTCTCTTTTACAAAGGCTTTCCATTTTTTAAAAAAGTAATATTTCTACTTAATGGATTTATTCCTTCACCAGGTATATTGGTCCAGTGTCAAAACAGTCAAATGTGTAAGATTACATCTTGGAAACTAGCATGTTAAATTAAAAACCAATGAAAGACATAACAAAAATCAGAAATGCCATTTGATAAGCGAGGTAGATTTTAAAAGATTGGGGTTAGGGAGGAAAAAGTCATGTTTAAAATAGGACTGTACACACATCAAAACTCCTGCACTGAATTAACGATTGCAATTGATAGACCATCGATACAGTAGTATCTGTAGTTCAAACATATACAAGTTTGGAAATAAGATTCTTCAGATTACTAACTTTCGGTACTAAGAGGAGAAATAAACACATTTTGAGGTCATACACTAAGAATACATCTCAGAGTTTCCATTTGTCAAGAGAACTCTGCTTCATGCCATATCATCATATTAAAGTTCTGAATAATTTAATCATATATGCTGTAAACTGAGAGGGGTATGAAGAAAGGGAAAATATATTCTTCATTCACAAGGGTGTATGTGTATGGGGGGGAGTCAGGAAACCAGTTATTTACTGAAAAGATATGGGGCAGTATACAGAAGCAGAGATAAGCAAAAGGTTATTTACCAACTCAACAGAAAAACATTGGCTTATGGCAGCTAGAAAAGGGAAGACGCTTGTTGATTATCACCAAAGGTGAAAAAAATAAACTCAATCTGCATTTTAGATGTGCCCCTAATGTGTGAAAATGGTAACTATAAAAGTGGAAACATTTTTCTGAGTGGCCTGTGGAATCAGTTTCTTTACTTAGTAGTTTCATCCATATAAAATTTCTCAATGACTAGCTAGCTGAGCTCACTTATGAACACGTGGTAGTCTCTAAGAGTTCTCAAATAGAAGAAAGACTCCCATAAGCAAGTCACCTACAAAAAAAGATGAACTTTGAATTACAAAAAGCAGAGAAGATGGAATTTCAGTGAGCAATTTTCAAAGCAACAGAAGCATATAACAAAAATACAAGGTTAATTAGAAATAGAAAGTTAAGTAAAAAAATGTGAAGGAACTCAGAAGAAACATAGAAGAGAAAGCTTTAACATTACCTCATTGTATTTTTCTACATACCAATTATTCTAGAAAACTATAAAGTTAGTTTTGATTTTTTAAAAACAGCTAAAACTAACCTCTCTCAAAACAAAAACCCCAGTAAGCAAATGTTTAGCTATAAAATACCTGAAACTTTTTTGTAAATTTTAAATGTAATTTTAAAACATTGTAACAAATCAGTTTTAAAACATTTGCAATATATATGCCAAATTTCCATATGACATTTCCTCAAAACTACTAAAAATTCTCATCAACCAAAAACCAAACATCAGCTGTTGTAGAACTGGTGTAGCAATACACCAATTTTCATTTAAACCAATAAAAAAAGATCCCTAAATACAGGGAGCCAAGTATTGACATTTATACTTTCACTATAAAATTATGCTTAATTTCAATAACTATAGCTTTTATTGCTTAAAGAATCTCTTTTATACCTTCCCCTCTTTCCTACAGCAAAAAGACTTATGAAAGATAAAAACATCTTTCCAATACATTTTTTTGCTTAACTAAAGGAAAAAAAGTGTCTTAGAGAAGTTGCTGGGAAGCCTCGTGACCTTTTACACCCTTTATTAAAAGACTGAACTAAATACTGTATGATCTTCAAAGCTGGATTTGGCAATTCACCATTCTCTCTCCAGCCTTTCAGGATACACTGGAGGAGATTCCTGACATGGATTTTTGTTCACCCCACTAGAAGGCTTCTGGCTTTCCAGAAAGTGAATTTGTAAATAATTTTATACCTCAGTCTCAAAACTCACACTGACAAAACTCTCCACATTAAGTGTTCAAGTGTGATTGCTACCTAAGAAAGAAAATCCTTTGGGAGCAATATGTACAAGCTACCACCTTTGAATTGTGAGAATTAAGCTAACGTTTACCTTTTTGAATAAACAATGTTGCATCCCTACCCATTTTAGTGCTTTTAGACAACTGTGACAAGACCAATTCACTCTTTACACACTTTTACATCGCCAATCTGAATCAACTTTACTGGACACAACCTAAGTTTTATATTTAAAAATGCTAAGGGCCTCAATTAAAAAAAGAAATCTCCCAAAGTTGCATCCTAAGTTACGATGCTGGTCAAGCATTTCTATCAAAAATTTAAAATAAAGATCTCCATACCTGTCTTCATCGCCATCAACAGGAATAGCTATGCTGAACACAGAGGTGGCCAGACTGTTCATAGGTGTTAACTGAAGGGGGTTTGCCAGGGCATCTGCAACAGGAGGCTTCACAACAGGCTTATTTTCAGCAAGAAGAGAAAGTGGCGGTTGAGGTAGGGGTTCTGATTTTCTTCTAGCATCGTCAACTTGCCCGACTAAAGGCTGGGTCTGAGTCTGAAACTGGCTTGGGTCAGACTGTGGTAGACTTGTTGGTGCACTGTGTGTGCCTTGAGCTAAGGGCAGCCCAACGTGCTGAATTACGCTGCTGCTCCTGACTGGCGTATGGCTGCTCAGCGGCTGCGACTGGGCCAGAGGCGCGGGTACATTTGGCATAGTAACAGAAGTGGTAGACACACTAGGCACGCTTGGAGCGGGCACGGGTGCAGGCACGTTTGGAACTCCGGGCACCACGGCGTGAGGGCCACCAGGTACGGCTGACAGCTGACCACTGCCACCCATCTGCGGCGGAGGCACAGATTGGGGCTGCCCAGCCCCGGCAGGACCCAAGCACGGCTGCACCACGCCTCCCACAGCAGCCGGGGGCACTCCGGCCGGCTGACAAGGCGCAGCCTGCCCGCCTTGCGCGGGGGCCACGGCCTCACTGGGCTGGGAAGACGCGCCCAAGATCTGCGCGCCCACTGAGGAGGCATTCTGGCCGGTGCCCACGGGAAGGCTGGCCGCCATGGCGGGGCTTGCTCCCGCGCCGGTGGACGAGGGCTGCGCGGGGCTCGGCGGCTGCAGGCCGGGCACGTGCTGCTGCAGGTACTCACTCTGCATGGAGGGCTGGACGGGCAGCAAATGCCCCGGCGGTATCGGAGGCTGGGGATACGCGAACTGCTGGGGCTGCGGCGTTGCCGAAGCGCCGACGACCGGGCCCGGCTGCGGAGGCAGGGACAGGGCCGGCGGCGCCAGGGTTACATTCGTCTGCTGCAGACCCTGTCCGCCGGGACCCGTTCCCTGGGGCTGGCTTGGCGGAGCGGCTGCCATCATTGGCTGCGGCCCGGCCGCGGCTCCCGGGAACGGCGGCAGCGGAGCCGAGCTTTGAGCCACAGCCCCACCTACGGGCGGCGGCGGCTGTGGCTGCCCAACGCTAAAACTCGGCGGCTGGGCCGGAGTGGGCTGGCTCATTTTCTCCGACGGGGGTAGCTGTGACACAGCAGTCAAAGAGCTGTCAGTTCCCGAGTCGGGCCCGTGCGCCCCCTGCATGGAGGCCACCACTACCACCACCGACCCTCCGGTGGCGCCCAGGCCACTGTCCCGCTCTGCAGTCTGATCAAAAGTACTGCTGTGTCTAATGCAATCCCCGGACCTCGTCAGGACGCTGCTGTCTGAATCCCGCTCATAGTATTCCATACACGTCCATCGGCCGCGTCGATAGGGCTCCCCGCTCCCGTGGTCCAGCTTGATCACGCGAAAACGGGAACTACAAGTGGCAGGAGGCTGCGATGGGGCTGCAGCTCCCGCGCCGGCGGACGAGCCCGCGACCGGGGGGCCGCCGGGTGCCCCGGGGGCGGGGGCCGAGGTGGCAGCCGCGGCCAGGGTACTGGCGAGCGCCCCAGCCACGCTCCGGGCCGAAATGACTCCTCCTCCGTTGGCGGGAGCGGCCGCCGCGGCCGCCAGCTGCCCATCCAGGGGGAGGTTTGGGGAGACGGTCCCGGGAGTCTCTGCATCCCCAACGTTGTTGAGCGTCTCTTCGGAGGAGCTGCGCTCGCAGACCTCCTCGGGGCCATAATCCGTGGCCCGGGAGACGTCGAAAATCTCGGAGGACACGTCCTCCGTGCGTGACTCGTCCGGGTCGTCCAGGCTCTCGGTGTCCTCGGTGATGCTGGTGGCCACCTGGGCCGTGGTGACACTGGTGATCTGGAAGCAGCTCTTCTTCTTGGCCGGCATCTTGGACATGGTGAAGAAGGCTGGAGGGCAGAGGGGCACGCCGGCTCCTCTGGGATCCCGCCGGAGGCCGGGGAGGGCAGAGCACGGGCCCCCACAGACAAAGTCCGAGTCGGCGCTGGGGTCTGAGGCCCGCCGCTGCAGGAGTCACGGGCTGATCCGGGCGCCGGCCGCTCGGCGAGACATCCTCCTCTCCGCTGCCTTCTCCGAGTCGGTCTCTCGGCTCTGCCCCGGCACAGTCCCGCGGCGGCTCCTCCTTCCTCTCAGCTCCCGCGGCCGCGGCGCCTCAGCTCAATCCCCTCGGCGGCGGCGAGCGCGCGAGTCCAGGGGCGGGCCGGCTGCTTCCTCTCCCTCCCCGGGCCGCCGTGGTCAGTCCAGCTCGGCGCTCGGCGCGGTCAGCAGGC